TGCATGCAGTACTCCAACTGCGGTCTGACCAGCGCCCAATAGAGGGGAAGTAGCACCTCCTTGGTTCTGTTTGTCATGCATCTGCTGATGCACGATAAAGTGCCATTAGCTTTTCTGATGACTTCGTCACACTGCCGACTCATGTTCATCTTGGAGTCCACTAGGACTCCAAGATCCCTTTCCGCTTCCGTGCCTCCAAGCAGGTCATTTCCTAGGCAGTAGGTGTGCTGGACATTTTTCCTCCCTAGGTGCAGCACTTTGCATTTCTCCTTATTGAATTGCATTCTGTTGTTTTCCGCCCATATGTCCGACCTGTCCAGGTCTGCTTGTAGTTGTTCCCTGCCCTCCGGTGTGTCCACTTCTCCCCACAGTTTTGTGTCATCCGCAAACTTGGACAGAGTACGCTTCACTCCCTCATCCAAGTCACTGAGGAAGACATTCAAGAGTATTGGTCCAAGGACCAAGCCCTGCAGGACCCCACTGCCCACACCCTTCCAGGTCGATACTGACCCATCCACTACGACTCTCTGGGTACGACCCTCTAGCTAATTCACCACCCACTGGACTGTGTAGTCATCCAAGTCACAGCCTCTTAACTGGTTCACCAGTATGGGGTGGGTTACCGTATCGAAGGCCTTCCTGAAGTCTAAGTAAACGACGTCAACCCCTAGTCCTGCGTCCAGGTGTTTTGTAACCTGGTCATATAAAGAGACTAGATTAGTCATGGATTAGACCTGCCTGTATTGATAGAAATTATAATAGAGATGCTTCCTAACTCAGAAGATTGAAGAAGTCAGTAATTGGGAGATGATCTCTCAGTTAGGTAGTAGTTAGTTAGAGACCAAGGGACTGCAGAGCATTGCCTATTACTCTAAAATGAAAGTTTTTGTTTAGTTGTTCTTATTCATGTATGACTTTTTATTGAACCTGATGAACTTTGCATTGCAGTCTGCCCTGGCTACTACAGAGTCCTAAATCATTTGAATTCTGTATCAGTGGAAGGAACTGAGATACACTTTGTCCTGCTCTACCATTAGACTATTGTATGGGGGACATGATAACATCCAGAGAACAGAGCCCCCAAGTATCTGATCTTGTGTGCACAAAGCGTGTGTACTAGCTACAAGTAGTATTCCTATGGACAACACATCTCTAAGAACCACAGTTACCATAAGGTAAGTCATGGCTGTCCAACATGTTGGCAGGTAGGGGCAGTGTACTGTATGGGCCATAGGCCAAGGGCACACTTGACACTCAAGCTGCTTGCTGTGAGAGGCCCCTTTATCTTCCACATGGGCAGCCTGTCTTGCCCATGTTGCACATACTGCTTTTCTCTGTTCCCTACAGGGCACACTGCATGGGCAGGTCCTCCTCCTCCAGCACAGGCACCACTAATATGTGTGCCATGTTGTCAGCTCCCCTTTCTGCTGCCATGCACATCATGGCCAGCCTGGTTCTCCCACACCATATCTAGAGCATGGCCAGTTTAGCTCCCTCCTGCTGCACCATCCTGCCCCCAAGAGGATGGGTAGGAAGCAGAATTCAGGGAGGAAGGGGCAGCTGGAGACATTGCATCAAAAGCAATGAGGGAAGCAGTGGCTAGGCAGGAGCCAATGGGCATGTTAGCCCCTTGCAGGGCTTGTGTGTTCCACAGATCACCAGTTGGACAGCCCTGAGGAAAGTGACCATTTTTTTCCAATTCCAGGGACAGATTGAAGAATGTGTAATAATTACAATTAATAATCGGACAAACACGAGTTTATAATTGGTCCATCGCAAGGCTGACAAAACAGATACCAAGCTCAAAGTCTTAGACTGCAAAAATGCAAATTTTAATAAGCTCAGATCACTAGTAGAGAATGCCCTGAGAGACCAAGAGACAGGTAAAGGGAATACAAGAAGAATGGCTGTTCCTTAAGGACACAATCCTTAAGGCTCAGAGAAAATCCATTCCCTTACAGAGAAAAAGTAGCAGAAGGGTCAAAAAACCCTCTTGGCTAAGCAGGGAAGTTGCAGACCTCCTACAGAAAAAGAAAGAGGTGTACAAACAATGGAAGCTTGGGACAGCCTCTAAGGAAGACTACTTGACAATGGCCTGCACTTGTAGAAACCAGATTAGGCAAACTAAGGCAGAAACTGAACTAAAACTAGCTGCAAGAATCAAGGACAACAAGAAGTCCTTCTTTAGCTACATAGGGAGTAAAAGGAAAACTAATGGGAGTGTGGGGCCACTGCTCAATGCCTCAGGATACCTGGTCACTACTACTCAGGAAAAAATGGAATTCCTAAATGACTACTTTGCCTCAGTATTTCATAATACCAAAGGGAACAACACGCCAGGTAGGGCACAGAACTAGCAGGGTGAGATTGACACCATTTCCACCATTGCCATTGAACTAGTGTACATTCGAGTAAATAAATTAGATGTATATAAATCAGCAGGACCAGATGAAATCCACCCAAGAGTACTGCAAGAGTTGGTCGAAGTAATCACAGAGACCCTGGCAAAGGTGTTTAAAAAATTATGGGCCTCTGGAGAAATCCTAGAGGGCCAATGCTGTGCCGATCTTCAGGAAGGGGAAGCGTGAGGACCTGGGAAACTTACAGGCCAATTAGCTTAACTTCTACTCCAGGGAAAATCCTATAAACATTCATCAAAGAGGCTATATGTGAAAAACTTGCAAACGGCTGAATGACAGCCAGCATGGTTTCATCGCAGGCAGGTCTTGTCTGACCAACCTCATTTCTTTCTATGATCAGGTGACTTGTCACCTGGATGAGAGAAAAGCAGTTGACACCATATACCTCAACTTCCAGAAAGCCTTTGGCCTGATATACCATGAGGTACAGATAAGAAAACTGTAAGATATTGGGCTGAACTGCAGGATCATCAAGTGGGTGCAAAAATGGTTGCAGGGTAGGACACAGAGAGTCCAAATGAATGGATTGGTGTCATCCTGGCAAGATGTGGGCAATGGTGTATCCCAGGGGTCAGTACTTGCCCAGTGCTGTTCAACATCTTCATCAACGACCTGGATGAGGGGGTGAAAAGCCCATTGGCCAAGTTTGCGGATGACACCATGATATGGGGTTGTGCGGACACACCTGCAGACAGGCTGCAGATACAAGCAGATCTAGACAGGCTGGCATGTTGGGCAGAATGAAACCAGATGAGGTTCAACATAGAGAAATGCAAAATACTGCATCTGGGAAGGAGGAACCCCCAGCACACCTACAGGCTGGGCATCACTAACCTGACCAGCACTACAAATGAAAGGGATCTGGGGGTAACAATAGACCCCAGCATGAATATGAGCCGGCAATGCGATGCAGTAACCGCTAGGGCCAATAAAACTCTGGCATGCATCAGTCGATGCATCTCCAATAAAACCAAAGAAGCGATTCTCCCGCTTTATTCAACGTTGGTGCGGCCACAGCTGGAATATTGCATCCAGTTCTGGGCACCGCACTTCATCAAAGATGTGCTAAAGCTCGAGATGGTCCAGAGAAGGGCCACCCGTATGATCAGAGATTTGCATGGCAAGTCATATGAGGAGAGGCTGAGGGATCTTGGACTCTTCAGCCTAAAGAAAAGAAGGCTGGGAGGGAACCTGATTGTGGCTTTCCGCTGTATCAGACGCATACATCAGGGGCTTGGTGAACAACTGTTCACCAGGGCGCCCTGGGAGAAAACTAGAAACAATGGCCACAAACTCCTAGAAGATAGTTTCAGGCTGAACATTAGGAAAAACTTCTTTACAACTAGGGTGCCCAGACTATGGAACAAGCTCCCCCCAGAGGTGGTGCAATCATCTACGCTAGAGGTCTTCACGAGAAGACTGGACGGTAACCTGGCTGGGGTCCCCTGACCCCAGATGTCTGTCCTGCTCATTCAGAGGGCTGGACCCGATGATCCTTTAGGGTCCCTTCTAGCCCTATGATTCTATCTAGCAGAGAAAACCAAATGCGGGCCAGCCTGGCTGAGCCCCACAACCCCTGCTGTTGGTGAGGCAGGTGGATGGTGTGGCCATTCTGGCCACCTCTGGCCAAGCTGCCTCCCCTGCTGCTGGAGTGGGGAGGGGGGAATGGCTGACAGGTGCTGCTACACCCTGGCCAGGCAGACTCTAGCTTTGGTCCCCCGGTGGGAGAGGGGAGGGAGGAGGGAATAAACCCCATCCTTGCTTCCTTTGTCTCAGGGTGCCATGCCAGGCCCATGTCTGGCCACTCCCCCACCCCTGCTCTGGCTAGAGATCAGAGGGGTGAGGCCAGCCCTGGTCTCTGTAGCAGACAGCACAGCCCAACCCTGGTCTGAAAAGCATGCTGGGATGCTTGGGTTTAACTTAAACCAGGAGTGGTTTAACTTAAACCAGGAAGGGGTCTGGGACAGAAGCTAGATAAACCAATTTGATCCAAATCAGTTAAATCTGATACTACATTCAACCAGGTTTATTACAAACCAGTTTTGGCCATTTTAAAACTGGTTTATGTGCACTGAACTTATGTTCTGTTACAGGTTTAAATTGGTTTCTGATCACTTAAACTGGTTTAAGTGTAACTTCTGTCCCTAGCCCTAAAGGGTAATTTGGGACAGAGGCTAAGGGCTTCAAATTCAAGAATTAACTCAGAGCATCAGTTTGCAAAGAAGAAAATGAAGGCAAAACTGTCAACAAAAGTTAAAGGCAAAACTGTTTTGGGAAATGGCCCCACAGCATGTGCAGTGGAAGGAGAACTCCCTCCCTTACCCTCTTCTTTTAATATATACATGCTGCATTGTTAACTGGGTTTGTGCCTGGGACTGTTTACTTTGGTAATCTATCAAGAAGCCTGCAAGGTCAAATAATACCACGGTCTGCGTAAACTGAAGTGGAAAGCAGTTTAACCTTAAATGTTAGGGTTAAAAACCAGTTGTACAGACTACAATATGAATAGACATATTTTTCTGAAAAATATAATAAAACTATTATCTGGATTTAGATGATCCCCAGGTAGGTTTTTTTTTTTAACTGTAAATACTGTAATACTACATTATTATTCTAGTCTATTAATACCAAACTATAACAATGATCTGAAGAAAAGGTTCAGTCTAGTTTTCTGTCCTAGCTAAGTGAAATGCAAGTGAGCAAAGAAACAGAAACCCAGACATCCTCTATAAATGAGGTAAATGAAATGAAAGAACCAATGTTTATATGATTTAAAATACAAACATATATACAGTAAAAGCTGTGTTAACTAGCATTTAAGTAACCAGAACACTTTATTAACTGGAATTTCCAGCTGGCCAGCCGGATGTGGGAGGAGCGGGGGAAAGCTTGTGGCCACTGACACATACCACCCTGCACTGCTGCTGCACCGCGTGCACCACCCACCTCAGGTTTGCATCCAGCCGAAAACCTCCTGCCCTCAGGTAACCAGAATGTTTATATAACTGGCACCCTGCTTATGCTGGATAACACAGCTTTTGCTGTACGTATGAGAGTGTGTGTGTGTGTGTACACACACACGTGCATGTGTGTATGTGTCTATGTATATGTGTATATATACCTTACAATAAATGTAATGTAAAGACTGCCAATACATTGTTTTACATGGAAATGAACAATTGGCTTGAATTTTTTTTACTATATTAAAATGTGATTACTAATGGGTTAATTAAGGAAGGTACATGTCATTTTCTGAATTCTTAGCATTTTTTGGATGGTATTCAGGAAAATGGTCTTGAAGTGAGAGATGATCATTGGTACTATGGATACTTGCATCCTTGCCTTACCATTTCCTCAGTTACTTTAGTTTATGTTGTTACTGAAAATGGAACTAAGGATTTAAAAAAATAAAAATACAACCAGTGGTATGCCAAACACATACACTGATATGGGAGAGTAACTTTTTTAAATTTGTATTTGGAAAGCTAATAGAAGGCTGTATCAGTTACCTTTGTTGTACATTTCCATCCACTCATGCTGTATTCTCTCTCATAATTATTACAAATTAAATTCTCATAAACCGTGGGAAGAGTTTTCCTGTTTAAAAGCCAGTGGGTTAAAAGCCTATTATTGTATGTCATTGCATGTAGTATTTAGTTTAACTAGCCAACAAATAATGTATTTTCTTAAGTTTTATACTGACCTATGCAATCTTATCCAGAAAAAAAACATCCAAAGAGAGGACCATCATCCTGGGCGATTTTAATGAAAGAGTTGGCAATGACAATCTAGCATGGAAAGGCGCACTTGGAAGACATGGATTGGGAAACTGTAATGACAATGGACGCTTGCTTCTGGAATTCTGTGCAGAAATGCAAGTGACAATAACCAAAACCCAGTTCCAGCAGAAAAACCATTATAAGACCTTTTGGATGCATCCCCGCTCCAGACATTGGCACCTGATAGATTACATCTCGGTGCATCAGCATGATCTTGGGAATGTCCTGCACACTAGAGTCATGCCTAGTGCTGACTACTATACTGACAACTGACTTTTTCACTCAAAGTTGTCCTCCCACTTCAAAGCCTCAGCCCAAGCACAGAAGTAACCCCCCAAAGAAATATGATGTTTTGAAGCTTCAAAATCAATCTTGCCAACAAAAATTTCAAAGAAGTCAAAGCTTGAAAGCCAAATCCATGTTGCAGACACCTCACTCGATTGACTCTGGGAACACATCAAGTCAGTAGTCTTGGAGACCACCAAGGAGATTGTTGGGCTCAGTACTAAGAGATACCGGGACTGGTTTGATGAAAATGACAGACATCCAAGCCCTGCTCACAAAAGAGGACCACTCATCAAGCCCTTCTAGCACAGCCAACTAGCCAAGAGAGAAAGGCAGCTTACTGCCAGGCATGTAACACCCTTCAGTGGAAAATGCATGACATCTAAAATGAATGGTGGTCTAACTTTGCGGAAAGAATGCAACTATGTGCTGATAATGGTGACACCAGAAGCTTCTATGAAGCACTGAAATCTGCCTATGGCCCCACCTTCCTGATCCAAAGCCCACTGAGGAGCGCTGATGGCCAGATCCTACACATTGACAAAGACTGTCATGGACCAATGGTCTGAGCGCTTTCAAACTCTCTTTAGCACTGAATGCACAGTACATGAGTCTGCCATCAACCAAGTCAAGCAACTGCCTATTAAAGAAGAACTTGATGAGCATCCTACACTGGAAGAAACCTTCACTGCTAATGACAGTTAAAAAGCAACACAGCCCCTGGAATTGATGGAATTCCACCTGAAGCCCTGAAATACAGCGGTCCTGCCCTACACTCCAAGCCCCATGAACTCTTTATAGCCTGCTGGGAGCAGTGGAAAACTCCATAAGATCTCCGTGATTCTGTAATCATCACCCTGTCCAAGAATTAAGGTGACAAGTCAGACTGTTCCTACTACCGAGGGATCGCACTTCTGTCCATCACCAGGAAAATTCTAGCTAGAATTCTCCTCGACAGGCCGGTGCCTGCCATAACAGATGAGGTCCTCCAGGAGAGTCAATGTGGCTTCAGAGCAAACAGAGGCATGATATATATGGTATTTGTGCTCAGACAAATACAGCAAAAGTGCTGGGAGCAGAACAAGGGGTTGTACATCACTTTCATTGACCTTTCTCAGGTGTTTGACACCATAAACCAAAATGGCCTCTGGAAGATTCATGAGAAGCTTGGATGCCCATCTAAGTTCCTCACCATGGTCAGGCAACTCCATGACAGTCAGCGTGGACAAGTCAAATACAACAGCAGGCTCTCAGGTCCCTTTCTGCTCTCCAGTGGAGTTAAGGAAGACTGTGTACTCACCCCTACTTTGTTCACCATTTTCTTTGGTATGATTCTGCAGCAAGCATTGGACAATCTTGGGCAAGAGCATACAACATTTCATTTTCTTTTCACCTCTTTGTACCATGAGTTGGCTCCACATTCAGGAGAGCACTAAAGCACATGGGAATTAAAAGCACATTAGCCTGGGACTTTTCATCTGCTGGACTAGGGCCTTTCACCAGGAGAAAGTTGGTGTAAAACATTGCTGTTTTGATTTGATAGCATTTTAAGCTCTGTTTGCATGAATGTAAATGATTCTACGGAGTGCAGAACAGTGGAGAATCAGGTGTTTCGTGCTTTGTTTTGCAATGCTTTGTGTGTCAGTATTTTAAGACCCTAATACTTCAAAACTGGAATTTACAGAAGTGGATAGTCTCACGACATGTTTATATTTGAGTATAGTGATTTTAAACTGGCCTCTAGAAACTTCTGTTTTGATAGTTTGAATAATTGGTGTTATCTATTAACTAAAATTAAGTATGGAATAATCAATACAACTCAAAATATGTAAGAGTTGTGTTCACAAAGCATTTAATTACATGGCTGAAGAAATCTCTCTGAAAAACACTGTGGCTGGTTGTAAAATTTCTTACATTTGGTGGGTTGTGAAGAGCAACTTTCTCTGATAAAAACTGAGACAAATACACTGTGATCTGAGCTTAAATTAAACAGGAACAAAACATCTGCTTCTCTTGGAAAAACATGTACCCTAGTTGTAATGAATGCAACATGTAGATGGGTGGCTGTGATACTATAAGTCATATGACTAATGATGCATTTCTAGTACAGTGTAGTTGATAATGAAAAGGAGTCATTATCTTATAGCAAAAAGTGTGTGGGGTTTATTTTATCTCCATAGAAAATATTTGATTTTTTTTTTTCATTTTTAACACTACCACAGATTGTGCTGGGGTTTCATCATTAAACTCAAATGCAGCTTTGTTTAAATGTTGTTTGTCAGATGAAAACTTTCAACCGAATCTGATGATTTCTGCGAACACTTTTGATTAGCTGAAAATACACTTTTCCGTCCCAAACTTTGACAGAAGAAATTAAGCAATCCTGTTTTTTATGGTAACAAAATATCCCATCATGATATTACATTGTAAGAACAGTAAAATATTACTGTCTTTTATGATAAAACAAAGTGAGCAGACACCAAGGGATGTAAATGCTTTGAGATTATTGGATGCCTTGAAATAAATGAGTAATTGTATCATGTATTTTTAAAGTTCTCACATCCAGGCTATTTTCAATTATGTAGCTGGTTCTTCCATAATGTACCCAAGATGCAGTCTTTTCTACCCATCAGTGCAGCTAAAGTGATCATCCAGATTGTCATTACTTTCTTTCCTGATTACTGCAGCATCTTTTTTTCTGCCCTTGACAGATGCAAACGTTGCTTATAACCATTCAGAACACTGCTGCAGGAATCACTTTCCTAAACCATTACTTTTACCATATCAATCCTCTCTCTTTCCTTGCTCTCTTTTGATTTTATAGCTTTTTATACTGCTGTTGCATCAAATGTAAGTTGCTTATCTACATGGTCTATCTCATCCTTTTTACTAGTGAGGTGTTGGCTGCAGTATCTAAATGAGTGGTATAACTAGAGTGGGGTGACTGGGGCAGCTGCCTCGAGTGTCAATTTGAGGGAAAGGAGTGGGAAAGAAAAGACTGTCAATGCAGTTGTGTTATTGTGCCAGCGGCACAACGCTGCCAATGTATAGTGTCCCAAGCACCTGGCTGCAATGTTATACCTCTGCTCCAATTAGACCATGATGCCCCCTCCAAAGTCCACTTGTCAAATTTTCATATAGACTTTTTCACGCTGTCTCATCATACTTGGGAATAGCTCCATATAAAGATCCATAAAGCCACCTCATTGGTTCCCTTGAAATGCCTCTTTAAACATCTTTGCTGGAATGCCTACAAAAACTCAGCAATAGCTAGACTGCTGATGTGCTAATACCACCATCTCTCAGTATTGTTCCCTATTTGCCTGAATGTAGCTACTGTTTCTTGTATTACAGTTTGATTGTAATACAGTCAGTTTGGGGCAAGGAAAAAGCACACATGAATTACTTTTTCTTCTGTGCTTATAGAATGCTGAGCCCAAAGGGGGCCTGGGCCATGACTGGATCTAGACCAGGGGTTGGAAATGTCAACTTATAAGATGTTGGTATGCCAGGGCGGATGGCAGGGGAGCCATGAGGGGCCAGATCCTTGTTGTGGCAGCACAGCCCCAGCTCCTTCCCTAAGGCAGATGCCAAGCAAAATGCCTTTGCATGCCACGCTCTGGCATGCATGCCAAGGGTTGCCTACCCTGATCTAGACATTAAATCAGGGTATTAGATTGGTAATACAAAAAATAATATACATGTTGCAGATACGATTATGTCTGCACCATTGCCTTTGACACTGTGCAAACAAATAAACAAAAAAGAAAGAGCCTTTGTCTGAAATAGATTGTTTTATACCCACCCAGAACCCAATTGACTTTAGAAGAGCTTTGAATTTATTAAAGACCTATAGATTTCAAAGGTTTTTAGCTTAAGTTAAGCATATGATCCGTGGAACCTATTGGCGACTATACAGGTGATGGACCTCTGCTCCATGTGCTAATTAGCATGCATTGGTGCAGACTTGATTAATCAAGTCTGCTGCAAGTCTGCTGGAGTGTTTTAATTAGCATTTCCCATCAACCTCCGTGTCATGTATATTCAACATCCCTGTTTCACAATGGTGGTGGGGGCACTTTAAAGCTGGTTGAACAAACCTTAGTTAAAGCGCCCCTACTGCCATTTTGAAGTGTAGGACGCTGAATACACATGATGCTGCAGATGCTTTAATTAGAGTGTGTTGCAGAGCACTGAGGTGCCCTGCTCCTAGAGAGGGGAAACTGCCAGGGAGAGAGCTCTGGCAGGGAATAACGAGCTCAGCTGCAGGTTGCCGGGGCAACCAGGAAGTCAGCTGACCAGAAGGGTCAGGGCCTGGCCCTCATAAAGCCCAGGGCTGAGGCCAGGCTGGCAGTTCCCGGCGACATTCCGTCCCCTGCGGGAGCGGTAGCGGGAGCCGGAGCCGGAGCCGGAGCCGGAGCCGGAGCCGGAGCTCCTGGAGTTAGGATGCGAGGAGAAGCCTAACGGCAAGTACAGCTTGACCAGGGTTGAGCAATGTTGTTATAGCCAGAGGGCGTGTGTTTGAGTTATAGCCAGGAGGCTTGAGTTTGTGTTGTTATGTATTACACCAGTGGCTAGGGCAAGGCTATTAGGGGTTGGAGGAGGCCTCATCGGGGACTCGTAACGAAGTGTGAGGACCCCAGCACCAGAGCGGGTGCAGTATACTCAGGGGAACCCACAGCGGTGTGGGGATCTCGGCGCCAGTGAGAGCGCAGCATACTCATAGGAGACCCACAGTAGCGTGGGGATCCCGGCGCCAGTAAGGGCGCAGCTTGTGGGGAGGGTATAGACCCCAGCCCTAGAGAGGGGCACTTTCGAGAAGCCCTAGCGGGGCGTGGCAAGCCCCAGAGAGGGGGCACTGTTGAGAAGCCCCAGTGCAGGTGTGGCGAGCCCCCAGAGAAAGGGGTACTACTGAAAAGCCCCAGGGCGGGTGTGGTGAGCCCCTGAGGAAGGCCTAGTACTGCGTTAAACCCTGGAGAAGGGCGGAGTACTGTGGTAAACCCCGGCGAGAGGGGGTAGTAGTGTGGTGAGCCCTGGAGAAAGGGGGTAGCAGTGCGGTGGGCCTGAGAGACAGGTGGCATAACTGAGAAGTCCCAGAGTGGGCATGGAAGTCCCCAGGAGAAGGGCAGCTTTATTGAGAAGGACCCTGAGAGGGGTGACACTACAGAGAAGGCCCAGAGTGGGCACAGAGAGCCCTAGGAAAAGGGCAGCATTGAGGAGAGAGCCCCAAGAGAGGGGCAGCATTCTAGAGAAGTCCCAGAGTGGGCACAGAAGGCCCCAGGAGTGGGGCGGCTTAGCGAGTGTACAGAGGAGGCCCCAGAGAGTGGGCGAGTGTATTCGACAGACCAACGT